AGCTGTATCCACATAAATCTAGTAAAATCAAAGTAAAAATTTAGGGATCTGCTGTGGCACAGGTGCATACACATAAATAACCTAGAGCACCCTAAAGGTTCCCAGTCATGCATCAAGACAGTTGAAGCCCTTAGCAAACACACCACAAGAACCCTGCTTCCTCCTCCTAAGCTATTCAGTGTGTCCAAAGTCTGATTTTTATTCTTGCATTAACTACCAGGAATGCTGTGAGTAAATTATTCTTTTTTAAATCCCCAGCTGTAGCTAAAATAGCTTATTACAACATTTACTGGGGGCTGACATTTCATAGCTGCCAATATCTAACTGCTTTTGAAAAAAAAAAAGTTACAGTCTCAGCCAGTTATGCAGCATAAAGCATGCCAAGGCCCCAGCTGGCACAAGGATGCATGTTTATCTTTGTGAAGGTTATGGTTTTGTTTTGTGGCTGCATTAAAAAAAAAAAAATCAGTTAAAAAACTTAACTTCTCTGCAAAAGACGGTGAGCAGTTTCCCACACAAGCCAGTTCCAAAACTGGCAGCAGGCATCCCCAGGCCTAAGTACAGGGTTTTTTTAATTCCTGAGTTAAAACTACCACAAGGTTCACTCACAGAACCAGCACTAAGCTGGAGTACACAGCAGCACCTTGCCACACTGGCTCAGGCACAGAGGTTAGGCTGGAACACAACAGCTCAGAATTCTGTCCACTGCTCCACACAGGAGAAACCCCCCATGGCACAGCACCTGGCTTTTGCACTGAGTACCTGCAGGGCAGCAAGATAAAAAAGGGCACTTGTAAACAGCATTTCTCCAGACACTGGCTCCCAGTGCTGCTCTGACCACTCACTCAGATCTGCCTTCTTCCATCCCCGTGTGCTCCACAGCTCCAAGACCTTACCTGCCCCAGGGAGCCAAGTCAATGTTCCCCTCGCTTTCCACACATTCGCTCTCAAATGCATTTACAGACATGTCTTGGCATGTGCTCAAAAATCATCATCCATTAGGAGAAAATACTAAACAAAGGATTTAGAGGAAGACAAGGCTACAGATCCACAGTCAAGTTAAGAAGGGCATATCAGCATATGCAACACACATCAAACATGAAAGCAAAACCAGTAGGGTTCTGGCTTATATTCATGCTGCAAGCATGTATGTTTCAACAAAGTCAGCACTGAGGAGCCCTGGAGTTAATTCCTGGAAAGCACAGATTTCTATTTAGCAAATACAAAGAAGAAGCCAAAAACATCTTTTTTGATACAAAAAAAGTGCAAAAGAACCATTTAAGAGCCAAAAAAGTATCTGGCTATTGTGGTCTTTTTCTTTTCCTGTACAAACCACTTGTGAGACCTTGTTTAGAGCACTGTATTCAGTTCTGGGCATTTGGCCAGAAGACATTCTGGAGCTGGTGGAGTGAGGAAAAATAATAGTTTTGGGGTTTTTTTGAGAAAAGTCCCTCAGAAAAGAGTTGTGTCTGCATCTAAGCATGTATACATGAGATTGGGGAGGTGACTTAACATCTTTCACCTGAGTCAATCTGCAGTGCTCTGCCAGATGTAAAGGAGCAACAGCAATTTGCAGCAAAAGATTTGTCCTTTTGTTTCTGAATACCATACAAAACTATCCAGTGCTTTCAGACTTTTCAAGACACAGCAAGACAACACCTGCTTATGTGCAAAGCAGACAGCAAAAGATTTGTCCTTTTGTTTCTGAATACCATACAAAACGATCCAGTGCTTTCAGACTTTTCAAGACTGCAGCAAGACAACACCTGCTTACGTGCAAAGCAGGGCTTTTACTCTTCAAAGACAAGTTACAGATAAGACATCTTCCAAGAACATTCATTTACAAGGCTGTCTCAAAAACCCTGTTCCAAGATCAGGAGGGAAAATGTAATTTTCTCACCCTACCCTCACATTATACACAGTGTTCACAGACCAGAATCCTCCCTGGTGCAGCATCATTACCTGTTTTCTCACACAACACAAACAGGTGCACTAATTCCAAACAGTATAATGATGAATATGTACTACAAAATACTGTTATTCCTGCCAGAGAACTGGTAGGACTCCAGGAACTTCCTTTTGTTATTTTCACTCTACCATGGTGAGGTTATTCCTGCCAGAGAACTGGTAGGACTCCAGGAACTTCCTTTTTGTTATTTTTTTGTTATCTTCATACTCCTCTTCCACATTTATGCTGATGGCAGAATCCTTACCAGCTCCAAAGGAAGCAGTACAGCATTAACGCACAACAATTTTCAACTGAGCTAATTGTTTAGATCAAAATTTCCAAAAAAACAGAATTAACCTAATGACAGAACGTGACTGCAGCTCCACAATTTCTTTTCTGTTATGGGTAGTTTCACTCTGCTCATCTCAAGGTAGAAACATGCCTTTAGCCATCCCACAGAATTTTCAATTTTACTTTAAAAAGTAAACAACGGGTTCTATGTATGCAGGCTCATAAAATCTACATAAGGCAACCAAACATTACATGGATAAAGCCAAGCTCTTGGGCCTGATTCAGCATTCACAACAGCACAAATTCAGAGCAACTCCCCTGAAGTCAATAAAGGATAAAACATACTGTCAGCAGAGGAGAACTACGCCCACCCTCCTTTGACTCAAGAATGATCCTCACAAAGAATGGACTTCACAAGCATGAGAGAGGAACACTATGCCACACTACCATGCTTTTTGTTTTGCCTGAAAACTTAAACAGGCAGCTACAAACACTTCCATGCACAGACTCTCTTGCCCTGCCTGCTTGGGCACAGAGCAGCAGGGTGCACTCTACACACACTTTTCCCAGCAGCACCGTGCCCAGATGACAAAAGGATTTGTGCATCTGCACTGCACAAACCTCTGCCTCTGTCTCGCCAGTCACGTCATCAGCTGAGACAGGGGATGCTTTTTGGGGCAGAATGCCCATGGACTGCTGTGGTGTGCCTACAGGTCCTTCACCACCTTCCATTTCTGCAGCAGCCTTGTAGAACAAGGAGGCAGAGGAACGACTGTATGTGTTTGCCTTGGTTTACCTACAAAAAGGTCCTTGAAGCCAAATTAACCCAGGCTGGGTTAAGCACAGCATGTCTCCCCTGCCAGGTAAGGATCACACAGGGCCTGGACCAAAAGCAGGATCAGACCATGTACACACTTCAGACTCTACAGCAAAGAATGTGAAGCAGCAGCAGCAGCTGCCCTTCCACAAACAAACCATGTCATGGCTCACAGCAGCTGAGACAAAGAAAATTCCATGTCCCTGACAGCTCTCTGTCCTTGTCCTGCTCAAGCTGCAAATGCTCAGGGCTCCTGAATATGTATGGTAAGGTGAACCAGAGCACCTCGGCACTGGCTAGCTGCAGGTGGTAGAGTATCAGTACCAGTAATGTCCACAGTAGTCCTACTCTGGATCACAAGCACCATAAATGCTAAGAAGCATCCATGACCTCCTTTTGTAGCTCCATGAGAAGACATAGGATAACTGTATTGCATTAAACTGTCTTGATGTAGCATTTAATGTGTCAGGAGAAATTTATTTTCAGCGTTCTGAAGTAAGACATGTACTAGAAAACTAGAGCCTCATATCCAACTAATTCATATTAAAACATCTGTGTTTTGCTACAGTGATTCAATGTAACACAGGGTACTGAATATTCAGCTACACTTCCAACCCCTCTCCTGACAAGCATTACCGACTGGATGATAAGTGACCCAGACACAAAAAAGGTAACTGGCATGCTTGACTCTGCCTAGCATTGTCTCCACAGCAACTCTTCCACGTAAAGCCTCTTACTCTCTTACTCTTAAACCTCTTACTCTGGAGATCTGTATGGTATGCCAAGTATTTATTACAGCCACAGGCAAGAGCTACACAACCACAGTGCCTGCAATACATTTGACCACAGAACGAGTTTTCTGTATGTTGCTCCACCGGTGTCTGAAGTCACTGTGTCTGCAAGGTTAAGAGCATGATTTTACTGTTTATCTCATTTCTCCTCCTGATACAGAGTCTCTTAGTGATCCTACAGAAACAATAAACCGTGGCTGTGGTTTAGGGAGATGTTAAGAAAAGACCTGAGTCCATATCTACTTGATACAGTACTCCATCAATCCCCTGCTGCTGATGGGAGATGAATTACCTCACATTGTCCTCATACATAACAGCAGCTTTTTCACTGCTAAAGTAACAGCACTGTTCTTTTCAATTCATGGCAGCAGCTCCCTTCTGAAAAAAATTCAGTCACCTTACTGATCAGTCTCTTAGTAGCCACTGCTTGAACTAGCTTTAAAAACAACTCAAAAATGCCCCAATAGTTAAAGTAGAAGAGCTAGTCTTCTTCTACACCAAAGAGCAACAGGAACCACCCCTCCTGGTCCTGTCAGCCACACAACCAGAACACCTGTCCAGCTGCCCGCTCACCAAATGCCTCAGCAAGGGTGGCAGGAGGGGACTCTGGAGCAGAGTTTCACACAGACACCAAAACTACTGTCCTAGAGGTGCAGTGAGAGACACTGAGCTGGCTGGGAGTGTAACAGGGTGACAGAGTGATCTACCACAGTTCACACACAAGAACCCCCCCAAGACACTATCCAGCTGTGCCAGCAGCAACGCCTGCCAACAAACCCCTGGCCAGCACAGCCTCATTCCACTTCCTCTTGCTGGTCTAATTAAATAGTCAAGCCCTAAGGAATAAATTGCTATTTTTGGAGCTAAACAGATCTGAAACTAATGAACCTTAATACAGATCCGGCCTGAGGGAAGTCAAGGGCTTGGTTGCAAGGCTATACTGGCATACTTTTACCACAACAAAATACAGAATTACTCATGGAACTGGTGCAGACACGGCTGAATTGAACACAGAGCTGCTGTGGAGCAGCAGAATGACAGCTGTTGAGCCCTTGCCTTTCCAAGCACTGCCCCAAGAGCCTTCCAGCCCCCGCCTAACAAACACACACCTCTTCAGGTACCATCAGCTCCACTCACCCAACCAGTTCCTCACCTGTTACCCCAAGCTATCCTCTGAGGGAGAAAGGGCTCCGGCCAGCACTGTCCTGTTCACCCCCGGGCACTGCTGTCACGCAAATACCTGGTGGAAATTCTGCTCTGCTCACTCCTCATCAACTCAGCTGCACTGGCAAAGGCACATAAAGACGTTCCTTATTTAATAGGGCTGAAGAGTTACACTCTGGGAAATCAGCACATAAAACAAACGAGAGGACAGTCGCCTGAAAAGACGGGAAGACGAGCTCTCAGAGAATAATACACCGTCTGCTTTTCTACATCTACCAAATCACACCTGCGCCATCTAAAACAAACTTTCGACATAATATTTACAAAGAAAGACTTCAGAAGAGAACGCAGCCAGACACAGACCCCGCGTTGAGGCCCTAGGAGCCCACGTTCCAGCCAGCAAAGGGAGCAGATGCCCGCACTGAGCACTCCCCGCGGGGCTGCACTCCTGCCCGCGGCAGTGCCAGGGCCGGGATCGCACCGCACCGCGCCGCCCTCACGCGAGCCCGGGACACCCGAGGGGACAGACACCAGCAAGATCCCCAGCCCGGGGCCCGCGGGGGCAGCCCGACCCGGCCGCCCTCGGCTGGGAAAGGGGCAGAGTCTGGTGAGAGCAAGGCGAGGACAACGCTGCCCGGCGGCACCGGCGGCTGCCGGGGCTCGGCTGGGCCCGGCCCTCCCGCTCCCGCGGCGCTTTCGCGGGGGCGGTTTCGATGGGGCCCCGCGAACAGCACGGACGGCCGCGACCCCCGCTCGGCCCGGCGCCCTTCCCTTACCTCGCTTCGCCTCGCCTCCCGCGCGTCGGCGGCAGCGCCGGCCCCTCAGGGCACCGGGGACAGCCCGGGTACGGAGCCGGGCGGGCAGAGCCCCTAAGGGCACCGGGGACAGCCCGGGCACGGAGCCGGGCGGGCACTGCGCCTTAGCGCCGGCACCTGCTCGTGGGGCGGGGTGGCCTCACAGACGTCTCCAAGTCACCAGGACCGATGGGCGCAGTTCTCCGACTTGGGCCAAAGAAACTGGTTAAGATCACTCGCAGCCTCGATGCTATTAGTGTATTTTCCACAGCTCATTCCAGGCTGCCTTTCAGTGCAAGTTATCTCAATAGCAACACAATGAGAGCAACATTTCCCTTCCATTCTGGCAGCTGCCAGCAGTGCCCATTAAGAATGCCAGTGACCACAGTGAGGAGCAGCTGCTGCGTCAAGCCTGCTTACAAAAACGTTCATACACGTTCAAAGACACACCACAGTGGCAAAATCTGCTTAAAGGGGGTACAAACAATTCCAAAATAGAGACCATTAAAATGAAAGGTGGATGCTTACCTAGCTTTGAGGAGGCAGGACAAAGGAAGGCTGTCTCGTGTCCAAGAGGGAATTTTTATATTAATCCATGGCTTCCGCGAAAGCTCCCATTTATCTTCAGGCCCAAGAGCCCCGGTTCACCCTGCTGAGGAGCTCCTGTTGCTGCAGCTTCCATGCAATTCATAGCTGCCTTTTGAGAGAGGCATGAACTGGAGCAGTTCTACAACAAGTCTCCAGGGCCACTGGCAATGGCTCCACCTGCATGGATACCATACAGAACTGGGACATTAAAATGCATTTATTACAAACTATATTGTGACTGACTTTTCAGTCCAGTGGGAGCTGCTGGTGTTTATTCAGGAGCCTAGAACACTGAAATGAAGTCCAGCTTTGCAGCGCCTGGTTTGGTAGAGCCATCAGAGCCCTTGGCTACCCTTTTACAGAGAGAGACACTGCTGCTCCCCTCTCCTTGCCAAACATTTGAGAGCAGTGAGGTGAACTGCCAGCCACAGAGGAAAACAGGAGCAGAAAAGGCAGTAAACAAGAGGCAGGTTAGGACATAGCCAGCCTCACGAAACTGGAGCAGAACTGAGGCCTAAGGCCTGGAAAAAAATTCACTGGAAAAGCCTCTGCCTTTGAAGAATCTGAGATATAGTGTGAAGTTTCATGGCTTGTCTTTCTTATTTATCCCTGAGACCCCTCCCCTCAATCCAGCTGTGAGATGGGCTTGGTATGGTTTCCTATGCATACAGTAAGCTTGCAGAACAGTGGGGTGTTTTGTTTTTTTCCAAGCCCTGAACAGCTGGGCTGTATTTCCCATCACATGGATGTGGGTCAGAGACCAATTTGTAGGCAGAAGGATTTCAGGTGGGATGCCCCTGAGCACCTGACTAGTCTGGACAAGACTGGCATACAGCCTTCCCCAAGCTGCTGCTCTGCTGTGTTACAAACCAGGGAGAGGTGACGGAAGCTTTCCCATGGAATTTGGGGTTGACTGGGCCAGGGCAGTATGTACTCCAGCTATAAAAATCATGTCCCAAGTTCAAAGGAAAAGCGTGTGACCAGGATGGATCTCCAGTGTCCTGAGAAGATGCCACAGGGAAAGAACACAGACTTGCTTATCTATTGTCACACGGTGGCAGCTGCAACAAGGAGCAGAAACTGTTAATTCCTTTGGCTAGCTTCTCTCATGGCAGCCAAGATTCCTGCATCCAGATGCTTCCCTCCTGCTCTGGCTCCTGCCCTAGACGCCTGTCACACTGCTCTGAGCTCTGTGGGAGTGAGAAGAGAAACCTCAGCCCAGGAAAAGACAGAGGAGCTGCTTGGATCTCTCTCCTGAGAGTTGAACACGTTGCTGCTGCACCATGGGAACAACTGTGCCATCTCCCAGCCATGGAGGCGCATCCACCCCAGGCTCCACAACCAGGTCATGTCCACCAATGACTTCAGAGTGACCTTTACTCACCTTAAAACGTGAGGTGTGTTTCACTTTATAGCATGTGACAACTATTGCTTCAGTGCATTCCAAATCTGGCCCTTGGCAGCATTACGTGTATTATACTTTCGGCTTCAAGCTGGATTTCTTGTTCTGATTTGCACTCAGCTGCTCCTTATAGCAAGAGAGGAGGGAGATGGGAATCAAACTGCATGAAGGAGGCACAGCAAAAACTGCTTAAGAGCAAAACAGACCGAGATGTTTTGTTTAGTTTTCCTGATTACTTTTTCATACACTGTGAACATATCAAAGGAAACATAATAACACACATACAAAGAAAATAAGCCACCAAAAATCCCCACTAACCAACAAGTGAACAAAACCCCACAGAATTGAGCCCACTAGTTTTTCTGCAAGCCTAGTTTTTTGTAGCTAGGCTAGTATTGGGATGCTGAGTTGTTCTGTGCTCTGTTCTGTTGCCCTGCAATGTAGAGTGAGGCAGAACCTCTCCTTGTTCCACCTCTTCCCTTTCTCTCAGCCTTGTCCCATGAAGGTAGATCTGGCCAACAGCTTTCCAACACTCCCTCACATCAATACAGATCTCCGTGGTGGGGTTCTGATGAGAGCTGACAACAGCTAAACTTCCTGACCAGCCAGGAAATGAAAAAGTGGAAAAGCTGCATAACTGTATTTCCAGCTCAGCAGCACTTAATTTTTACCTTCCCTCTCTTTTAAGATTTTTTTGACAACAGCATTCAAACACAATGTATACTCATAGAGGGATGTGCAAACACTTGTACATCTCAGTTCCCAGAGAAGGTGTGCAGCAGAAGCCCAAGTTTCTCAGAAAGCCCCTGCAGAGTCACAGCAACAAAGAAACACCACACACGTCTCTCAGCACTGTGAAAGGAAGATGAGGGCCATGGCATCTGATCCATCTCCTCACCAGCAACCTCACTAGCTCAGGGAGCAAGAAGGGAGGTGCAATAATGAGCCTCCAGCTGCCAATGAAAGCTCCTTCCAGCTGTGTATCTGCCAAAAGCTATTCCTTTCTCTATAGTCCGAGCCCAAGTAACATGGCAGCAGTGATGAGACCTCTGTCAAGGGAGATGATGACTGCCAGACACTAGCTGTGAATAATCCTCAGGAACTTGGTAATGATCTGAGCCATATTCTGACCCCACTGCTGAACATGTATCTTTTTTTGGGTGACACAGTGCGGGTAGGAGAGAAGCAGTGGTAGGACCTGTGTTTGGGTAAGGCCTTCCTCAGTGCACCCTAGTTCAGCATCCCTGATTCTGTCTCTGACCCACCACTGAAGCACAGCAACTTGAGTTGATCCAAGTTTGGACTTGGAAGTACCAGCCTCTGCCTTTGCTATGGTGGATGGAGTCCTGGCAAAAACCAGCATGCTGTCATCAACTTCAAAAAAAATCCAGGCTGATATTTCCAGTCTTCCTCTCACAGCTGTCTTAACTTGCAGGAAAGTAATGATTGTGAGTCATCCTTTTATATTTACACTGAAGATGGGGAAAAGACAGTGTTTTTAGCCTGGCTTTAAAACTGTTTTCTAAATAAAGTCATCTGTGCTCTAGATCTCCAGTTACAGTGAGGAGTGACATACACCATATCAATTTATGGGACAAGGGAGAACTGTGATGAACCAATTATTTGCCACTTCAGCATCACGTTTTGACGGTGCACTGTTTAACTAGACCTAAAAAAATGTAATTACTAATGCACTTTATGCTTCTTAATTAGCACTGTTAATAGCTAATCCTTCCCCAGACTTGGAGTGCCCACAGACAATGCTGTTCTAAGGCAGCAGCAGGCATTTGCTTTATTACCTCTTGGCAGCCAAACCAGACCACTACGAACCTGGAGGAGAATCAGGCCTCCTCTATGCTCAGACAGCAACAAGAATGCCATTACTCCAGGGGAGGGGAAACAATTCCTGCAGCTACATTAAAAGCTCTTGTGCTTACTAGTGAAAGTACTAACATTTCCCAGTATGCTTTCAAATTGTAGTCAAGTATTTTGCCTTCAGATTGGAGCTGCTTGTAAAAACAACAGTCATACACAACCAGTAACTTGGGGATCATCAGCTGCAGCTGTAACTCCCACAGAGACAGGCAGAAGCTGGCTGGTCTAGAACCTGGTGTGCAACTTTGGGAGTTTGAAGAACGTCCCGAGACTGGTTTACAAACTAAAGAACTTGCTCTTCTCTAATGGGGAGCAAATTTGTGTCCATAGAACAAAACCCATTGCAGAGACAAACAGTATTTGTCTGAAGTGCCACTAAATATTGCTACCATTCCCTAGAAAGGCCAAGCATTATGAATTCAAATGGCAGGAAGCAAGAAGAGATGGTACATAAATGTACTACCCGT